TTTCAAGATCTGTGAGAACATACTCACGAAGCTGTTCGAAAGAAGGATCACTGATCTCCTTCTTATTCTTCTTGTCTTGGCCAATGACAGGATTTGTAGGATCAAGAACAGAAAGGCTGTGACGCCACCAAGAGTAGCACGGGATCTGAGAAGACCAACTCCGATGTTGATGCGGTTGATAAAGGCAGAGAAGTCAGGAAGCAGATCATAAACATTTTCTTTTGAAAGAAGAGCTTTTTCGGTTCTCAAACAGTATTTGTATGGGCTGGAATCATCAGAAGAAGAGTTATCTCCATCTGAACTCATCTTCACAGATCTACAAAGAAAAAACACAAATAAAAGAATGCAAGCTAAAACAGGAATCAAAGAGAGATCATCAAAGTCTTGATTATAAAACGCTTTCGCCTACCTCAAGAGAGAGTAAATGCAAACAGAGAGAGAAGCTACGAAGAAAAGAAGGGAAGAAGATGACCGCAGGAGGAAGGTTTACACAGCCTTGACTAATATATAGTTAGGGTTTTACACTAGTAAAATGGCAACCATACCCTCTAATGTTTACCGTAAATTAAATGTGGTGAACATGTTATAATGTGTCATTGTCTTTTCTTGGACAAATAAAAGTTGAAACTAACAAATTGTTATGAATAATCTTATTGATATATAAATGCCCATTATATGGTCCATTAGTAGATTCTAGAAGGTTCTAGATTATTTAGTACTTAACCTAAAACCTAAATGTATCCCTATATATATTGTATCTTATGAAATATATTAATAACATAGAGAACAATTCCCTAAAACCTCATGTTATCAGTACGAGAGCCTAATCGAATAAGGTAAAAAGATATCTGCAAAAATCCTTAATCGATACCATCTCTTGTGTCTTCCTCTTTCAATGTTATATGTTTCCAATCAAGATAAGTAGTCATGCCTTATCGATGCATATTTATACTTTATTATATTGATTGTTTTATTTATTTTACATTCGTTGGTTTAGTATAAGTGACCTCACTTTTAACAACAGAACGTGTTTGCTTAATTATTGAGATTGTGATTGCTTTATCATGTTTATTGCTAGACGCGCATATCTATGGTTGAATCTTATTGTCAATATTATATGAAACCCATGTTTTATAGTAATCACGTCATGGTCAGTAATATATACTTTAGCCATTCTATATGTTGGTTTAATTATTGCTAGGTGGATAGATCTATTTAATATCACTTAGATCATCTCCAATAGTGCTTCAAATTTCACCTTTTCCTTCATTTTGAAGATAAAAATAAAGAAATCTTCTCCAATGGTGCTTCATTTTTACCTTCAAAATGAAGGAGTGAATAGTGTATCTTTATATTTGAAGGTATACTATTCATCTCTTCATATTTTGAAGATGAACTTTTTTTATTTACAAATGATCCTTTAAATTATAACAAGTATTTATTTTATACCAAACAAATTATTTATTTTTATTTTATTCAATTAACTTAAAATGCAATAACAATATATATTAAATAGAAAAACAAACACATATCCAACATAAAATTTAAAACACATAATTAATACTAACATTAAATATAAAAAAAACATACCATATATATTAAAAACTTAATAATCTGGTAATTCGTTTCCGGATCCACTAAAATAATTAAAATATTGCCCAAATGAGGTTGATCCGGATGGAGCTTGTTGATTATGTTTATCTTCATTTCTTTTCTGTAAAATGCGAGTTTTTTCAACTTGAACATATGCACGAATCTCTGGATCTTCTATGGAATGCAAGTCTTGAAGTAACATTTTGTTGTCTACTTTTAGTTCTTTCAAAGCATAATTTTTACTTTGAATCTCCAAATATTGTTGTCTTTGAGCACTTGTCTTCTTTAGTTGCTCCAAAAGTTGTTTATTTCCTTCTTCCAAAGTGTTGATAATAATTGATGTTTAATCATCAAATTTTCTTTTTTTTTTTGGATTTTTTTACTCTCATTGGAAGTTGAGATGGAGATCTGTAGCGACCATGAACCGTGCTAGAAATAGCCCGGCTAGAATCGTACAGGTGACAAGTACTTTGCACGAGCGGATCAAGGTTTAAGCACCAAGCTCTCCCCCTGACCTGCCCCCGCTTAGTACGGTCCCTCCCAATCCCGATATCCGGCTTGCCAACCTTTTACCGGGAAAGGGAGTTATGCGGTTCAGACATAACCTTTTATCATCAAACAATCCCCATTTTGAGAAAACCTTTTTATACTTAGTATAATATGATACAAATCGCACAAACAATCATATAAGGTTTCCGGGGATCCCATTTCGCAATACATAATACACAATAGTAGCCTTTACATTTCTACCCAACAATCTACACCAAGATCCTATTGTCCCAACGACCCTCTACGGCTTTTCCCCCTAAGGTTTCCTGCAACAAAAATGGTGGAATCATGATTACAAGTACTCAGTGAGTTCGGCGCCTAATCTCGGAAGCTAAACAACCCAACCCAAAACAATAAACGTTAGTCAAGCAACAAGCAACAAGCAACAAGCAATCAATAGCATGCAATAATCAACAAGTAAATCAATGCAACAGTTACGCAGTATGATGAATGCACAGGTAAATGGTAACAACAACAACAAAAATCATATGGCCATGTGAACGATCCTTCCCATCAAAACAAGTGAACAATCTGCCCGTAGCCACCAAGTCTACAAGCGATGTACCACATGGGCCTTCCACGACGGGCAATCCCCGTTACCTCGTCAGGCAAGCACTCGGCCCTTTGGGAGCGACCCAGTCTCTCCGAGTCCAACAAAAACAGGGAAGCGCACTCGAACACCACAAACTCTATATGCATGCAACTAAGCTACGACGTAGCGTACTTAAAGCATCAAGCATATAGGACATGAATGATAATCCTTATCAATTCTACGATCAATCAACAACAACATCAACAAGCACACAACCAACAAGCAAGCACACAAAGTAAATCATGTGCCACCACACATGCTTCGGAACTCACTGTGATTAAGCGGATCGGATGATCGTGATGTCTCAGCGGAATAACTACTCTGATCGGGAACTTCTGGTTTGGTACTTCGTCCAGAACTCTGTCGTCCAGAACTCTGTCGTCCAGAACTCTGTCGCATGACGGACACATGTCGCGTCTTGGGTGACTCAAACCCACAAAGACACTCTTCCACCGATTGGCTTGGAGTTCGCGTTGCACAACCCTATGGGACACGTTTCCTTGTGGTTGGGTCGAAGTTCGTGTCGCCCAACTCATGGCAACACTCCTTCTGCACGATTGGTTCGAAGTTCGTGTCGCCCTACTCATGGCAACACTCCTTCTCCACGATTGGTTCGAAGTTTGTGTCGCCCAACTCATGGCAACACTCCTTCTCCATGATTGGTTCGAAGTTCGTGTCGCCTAACTCATCATTACCTCGTTTTGTCCAAAAGAGGTAACTTGCACCTTTGGTTATATTCCTCCTCAACGATTGGCTCAGAACCGCAATCATTGCCTCGATTTTGCCTAAGGAAGGTAACTTATACCAAAGGCAATATCTTTCTTTTGATTGGGCCAGAAATATAATCATTACCTCGGTTTCGTCAAAAGGGTGGAGTTTCTCTCTCCGACAAATGATTATTTTTCTGACGTCTTTGCCTAGATTCTCGGAATTTATGCCTTCAAATCTTTCTCTAGATTCGACCATCCCAAGAATTATCTAAGCCACATGCTAAGTCGTCCTTAGCCACGGTGCGCCCACACGGCATGGTCAAGGCGTAGTCCGGTTCCATGATGTCCGGACACGACCCAACTAACTTAGCCAAGAAAAGGGATTTTACTTAGCATTTTCGATTATAAGTCTTTTTCCCCACGACCTTATAACCTCCTTTAAATCCTCCATTTATCGCACACGGTGAATCGTTCACCGGACGATCCCGAAACAAGTTCCTTTCTATCAAAACTCATTCCTTCGAGAAATATTAACTATGCTTAAAAAGTCCTAACTTACGTCCAAGTTCTTCGAACAAAAGAGACTTTCACTTTTGCTTGACTCCTACACTTGGTTCAGGACGCGATCTGTCCGGACAAATTTTATGCCCTAGAACGGGTCACTACATTCACCCCCTCTCATTGGAATTCGTCCCGAATTCCCAACAAGAGAAATCGTCGGAGTTTTTCGCTTGGTTAGAACTTCCTTGAAATTCTATATCGTCGAGCTTCTCGGCTGTTGTAGTACTTAAGCTTTCCGGCTTAAACATCCCGGAGATCTACGGAACTTCGGTATTGGATTCTCAATCCGTTTCGATTCCTCACAAATTCCCCATTCATGCGAGTGTATAACTTCCACTTGAAACCCAAATGAAGTTCTCAACACTCTCGGCCTTAAGCTCATGGATTGGAATATTTATTCAAGAGTTCCTTTCCTTGTCTTAAATAAAACCCAACAATCCAAGCCCTTCCCTGATGTAGTGATCCTAGAACTTATGATCAACTACACGGAAACAATTCTCCCTTCGGAGATTTAGCACTCCAATCTTGAAGATCTTCTCCTTCTCGATTGAACTTAGCGTGAGCGTGACAAGGCAAGTCCGCGATCCTTCTTCTTGATCCGGTTCCTTTCATTCCTCCACGCCATCTTACACTTGTTCGTCCAATTCACAAGTATTCCGTTACTTGAGACTTTAAACAACATAACTACTTAGTTATCTCACATAGATAGACTAAGTTCAAACACTTCAAAAATTTCCGTATTTTTGAAAGTTCCCTTTAGAATAACCATCCTTGCTCCCAAGATGATCAAATAACTCATCACAAAAATCTCTTGATGTACTTCCTTGTACACTCAAGCACCATAATATTTTCCGCATCACATCATCATGATTCCGTTCATCACAAAACACAAGGTATCCAATGACAAGACTTTGTTTTCCTCATAAACATATCTTTCATTCAAACCGTTCTTACAAAAGCCGGGTTTACACATACCCTCTCTTATAAAATTCGGGTTTAAGCATACCCTTTCATTACAACCGCGGATTACGACCGCTAAACACTTAGTCATACGCTCCACCAAAGCGGTTACAAGCCGAAAAAGAAAAACAACTAAATGCAAATGATGCTAACATGTAACACGAAATCATACAATGGGTTAGAGCCCTTACTTACCTCGTCGGACTTAACTGTTGAAGGTTTAGGGAAAATCCTAGTAAGTACTAAGGCTTTCCTTCGACTTCCTTGCGGACGCACTTGGACTTGGGCTTGATGGACCGGGATTCTCGGGATACTTCCTGGGACAAATGCTCGCATAGTGACCCTCATCACCACACTCGAAACAGACAACGTACGGGCGAGCATAGGGATGGTAGTGACGAACATAAGGACAAGTTCTCGGATAATGGCCATCTTGGCCGCAAGTGAAGCAAAACGGCGTCACACTATAAGGTTCAGACCTACGTCCATCCTCACGCTCCAACTCAGTCACAATGGTTCCATCCGCGGATCTCCTCATCCTTTCGCTCCAAACGGGCATACCTTCGGGTGGTCGGATCGGTTCAACACCAAGGGTACCCGCAGCAATCATGTTCTGGATCATAGCATCCAAGGAACTTGAACCAAGAGTTGGCTCGTAAAGCGTTTCGTTCGGAGGAAACAACACTCCAAGTTTTTCAACATGCGGAGGAGTAGCGAAAAAAGTCTCGCAATCGGCCATTGCGTCTGGTACTTCTTGATCACCAACATGGTTCTCAAGATTCGTATGGACGACTCAACACCTTCTTCACCATGATAACCAGGATACCAAGTTCGGGTCGCAAACCTTCTTGGCGGGGTAGACATCCTAAGCGATTCAGCCTTTACGAAGTTAGGGATTGGCAACTCCGTTCCCGATTCTTCAGCATCAGCTAACTCATCATCCAATGATAGCTCAACAAAATCCGGAGACGGCGGACCAGGCGGTGTAGCGAATACTTCACTTGGTGGCACCATGTTGTAAGCCAAAACTTGCCTTGGAATCCCATATTCCGTCGGTAAAAACACAATACTATCAGAATCGCGTGAAGCATTATCTTCCGAAGGTGTATCAGAAACACCAAAGTCTGTCCCTAAGGACATTGAGCTGAAAGAATCCAACGTCAACAAGCTATCCGGCGACGGAGGATAATAGTACGGATTCGCGTGAACTCCTGGCTGCCACGAGTCATCGGAATTGAACTCATACAAAACTCCATCGGGGCCTTCCCACATCGGCTCATAAATCTCACTATCTCCAAAGAGAAAACCAGTCGCCATCTACTCCTCGGACTCCTCAAACTCGTCCGAAAAATCTTCCACAGAATCGTCTGAAAGTACCACAAAATCCGAGACCGGAACACTTCCAAGGTTTCCTCCCAAATCCACTAGAGGCACAACTTCGTCAGACTCTACACTTGTCTCGACGATATCCTCAAACTCCTCAGGATCTTCCGATGGATCCGACTAGAATGAACTATCCGAACCTACCATCTCCCTCGTAGAAATGGATTCAACCGAAGTCACCGAAGGACTCGTAGCCATGAAAGATTCCGATTCCGATCCTTCCAACATCCGTCTCACATGTTCCGACGGAATCACAGAATCGTCAGAACTATCACCACTATTCCCGTACATGTTGCTTGGTCCAGCGTTTGACGGAAAACCCCACAGTCGTCTGCCTGAAAGTCTAGTGTGTCGCGAAGGCATCTGCATCACCAAAGCAAGGTTAGTCCTAAAGATTCCCATCTACCTAGACCCCACGTTGAGACAACTTGGTTTATCCTAAGGTAGAAATGCGACTCAATTTTGACTCGATAAAACATTTGAAAAGCGGGATGGTTCCCGAGCATCTGTAACCATGCTCTGATACCACCTAAAACTGTAGCGACCCTGAACCGTGCTAGAAATAGCCTGGCTAGAATCGTACAGGTGACAAGTACTTTGCACGAGCGGATCAAGGTTTAAGCACCAAGCTCTCCCCCTGACCTGCCCCCGCTTAGTACGGTCCCTCCCAATCCCGATATCCGGCTTGCCAACCTTTTACCGGGAAAAGGAGTTATGCGGTTCAGACAGAACCTTTTATCATCAAACAATCCCCATTTTGAGAAAACCTTTTTATACTTAGTATAATATGATACAAATCGCACAAACAATCATATAAGGTTTCCGGGGATCCCATTTCGCAATACATAATACACAATAGTAGCCTTTACATTTCTACCCAACAATCTACACCAAGATCCTATTGTCCAACGACCCTCTACGGCTTTTCCCCCTAAGGTTTCCTGCAACAAAAATGGTGGAATCATGATTACAAGTACTCAGTGAGTTCGGCGCCTAATCTCGGAAGCTAAACAACCCAACCCAAAACAATAAACGTTAGTTAAGCAACAAGCAACAAGCAATCAATAGCATGCAATAATCAACAAGTAAATCAATGCAACAGTTACGCAGTATGATGAATGCACGGGTAAATGGTAACAACAACAACAAAAATCCTATGGCCATGTGAACGATCCTTCCCATCGAAATAAGTGAACAATCCGCCCGTAGCCACCAAGTCTACAAGCGATGTACCACATGGGCCTTCCACGACGGGCAATCCCCGTTACCTCGTCAGGCAAGCACTCGGCCCTTTGGGAGTGACCCAGTCTCTCCGAGTCAAACAAAAATAGGGAAGCGCACTCGAACACCAAAAACTCTATATTCATGCAACTAAGCTACGACGAAGCGTACTTAAAGCATCAAGCATATATGACATGAATGATTATCCTTATCAATTCTACGATCAATCAACAATAACATCAACAAGCACACAACCAACAAGCAAGCACACAAAGTAAATCATGTGCCACCACACATGCTTCGGAACTCACTGTGATTAAGCGGATCGGATGATCGTGATGTCTCTGCGGAATAACTACTCTGATCGGGAACTTCTGGTTTGGTACTTCGTCAAGAACTATATCGTCCGGAACTTTGTCGCCCAGAACTCCGTCGTCTACCTCTACAGTCAGCTTCAGGAGCGGCCGTCACTTCACCGGAGATTTCAGAGAGCTCTCTCTCACGATTTCTCTCTAGCTTATGGTGAATGACTTGAGCCCCAAAGCCTTGGTTCTATTTATAGGAGACGAGATTTGACGCATTACGGACACATGTCGCGTCTTGGGTGACTCAAACCCACAAAGACACTCTTCCACCGATTGGCTTGGAGTTCGCGTTGCCCAACCCTATGGGACACGTTTCCTTGTGGTTGGGTCAAAGTTCGTGTCGCCCAACTCATGGCAACACTCCTTCTGCACGATTGGTTCGAAGTTCGTGTCGCCCAACTCATGGCAACACTCCTTCTCCACGACTGGTTCGAAGTTTGTGTCGCCCAACTCATGGCAACACTCCTTCTCCACGATTGGTTCGAAGTTCATGTCGCCCAACTCATCATTACCTCGTTTTGTCCAAAAGAGGTAACTTGAACCTTTGGTTATTTTCCTCCTCAACGATTGGCTCAGAACCGCAATCATTGCCTCGATGTTGCCTAAGGAAGGTAACTTATACCAAAGGCAATATCTTTCTTTTGATTGGGCCAGAGATATAATCATTACCTCGGGTTCGTCAAAAGGGTGGAGTTTCTCTCTCCGACAAATGATTACTTTTCTGACGCCTTTGCCTCGATTCTCAGAATTTATGCCTTCAAATCTTTCTCTAGATTCGACCATCCCAAGAATTATCTAAGCCACATGCTAAGTCGTCCTTAGCCACGGTGCGCCCACACGGCATGGTCAAGGCGTAGTCCGGTTCCATGATGTCCGGACACGACCCAACTAACTTAGCCAAGAAAAGGGATTTTACTTAGCATTTTTGATTATAAGTCTTTTTCCCCACGACCTTATAACCTCCTTTAAATCCTCCATTTATCGCACACGGTGAATCGTTCACCGGACGATCCCAAAACAAGTTCCTTTCTATCAAAACTCATTCCTTCGAGAAATATTAACTATTTCTCGCTTAAAAAGTCCTAACTTACGTCCAAGTTCTTCGAACACAAGAGACTTTCACTTTTGCTCGACTCCGACACTTAGTTCAGGACGTGATCCGTCCGGACAAATTTTATGCCCGAGAACGGGTCACTACAAGATCCACCAATGTTGTCATCATCACCATCTAAGTTCAAAGAAAATGAAGACAAACCTGGAGATGCTTGTGTAGCGGAATCAGGAGTAAGATTTTCAGACTCTGAAGATATATACCTGAAATTAAGTGGATTTGATATTTTCCTAGAAGAAGTGTCACCATCTTTAAAATTTTCAAAATTCTTAATAATGTTCCACACATGATCAAATTTCCAACCTCCTTTATATCTTTTATCTTCCATTAGCATCACTTTGGCTTGATTAAACTGCAAACAAATTTGAAAAAAAAAAGTTAATAACCAAATGCAAATAAATTTGATAAATCATCTATTAATAAACACTAAAAAATACTCACAAAATCGTCACTTGAAGCGCCACTTGGACGTCTATTCTCACATTGTTTGATGCATGCATGTAATTTTCTTGTTACTTTCTCTATAATTTGAATTCGGCATTGGATAGATTTTGTTGACCGTTCACTCCACGTTAGATTTTTCTCCTTCTCGTAAGCTTCTAGCACACGAGACCAAAGCCGATCGGATGACTGATAGACACCCTTTACTGGATCTTGAGAAATTTCCATATAAATTTGACACAAAAGCCTATCTTCTTCTTGTGTATATCCACTAGAACGTAAAGGTATTTCTGTAAGTAAAGTAAGAATAAATGTAGTAGAGATAGAAAATTATAGAATGGTTTAATGGGGTGAATGAAAATATAACACAATGATGTTATTTATAGATGTTAATAAAGGCATGACTTTTTTTTGAATTCTACCATCCATATGCTATTAGATTTGACCATACAATGAAAAAAAAATTCTAAGGTTGCACGTTATTTAATCTATAACAACAAGAGTAGACAATACAATGACAAAGTGACAAGAGAATCCATTATGACAAAATTTGACAATACAAAATTGTTTGTAAAATTTTAAATATTGTCACATGTTATCTCTATAAATTCCATCAAAATTCTATGTTACTCATCACAAGCCAATAAATACTTATATTTTTCTTATCCTAAATTCTCTCTTTTGAAATGAATTTTAATTTGACAAATATATCCGCTTCCTCATCCACTTCTAATGATAATGAAAATACGAAGATTCTCCTTACTCTTGACCAAGAAGAAGAAGCGATACATTTAACTATCGCTAATAACAATGCGATCATTCAATATCTTCTTAATCAACAAACCAGCCAGGTGATCCATGGTGGCTCAGTTCCTGGACGTTCTTTCATTCACCGTGATTGAGAAAGTGCACATTGGAGATTGTTCAACGATTACTTCTCAGAAAATCTAATTTACAAGGATGCTATGTTTCGCAAAAGTTATTGTATGTCTCGTTCTCTATTTCTTCGTATTGTTAATGTAATAGAAGATCATGATAACTACTTTCAACAACGAAGGGATTCAACTAGTAGACTTGGATTATCATCCCTTCAGAAAGTAACAGCGGTATTTCGGATGCTTGCATATGATTTACCAGCAGATGCCGCAGATGAGTATATTAAAATTGGAGAATCAACGGCGATTGAAAGCCTAAAAAGATTTTGCCGAGCAATAGTGAAAATATTTCCAGAGCAATAGTGAAAATATTTTCAGAGCAATACATTGGTAAAAAATGAGGTTTCCTACAATGCTATGCAGCTTAGATTATATGCACTGGAAGTGGAAAAACTGTCCTACCGGTTGGGCTGGACAATATACAGGTCGTAGTGGATCACCAACTATAATACTTGAGGCCGTGGCAGATTATGATTTTTGGATATGGCATGCATATTTTGGTATGCCAGACACCAATAACGATATCAATGTGTTGGAGTCTTCCCATCTCTTTTCCAATCTCTCTCAAGGTATTGCTCCTCCTGCTCATTATGTCATTCAAGGAAAAGAATATAATTTGGGCTATTATTTGGCTGATGGTATATATCTAAAATGGTCTACTATAGTGCAAACTATTCACGAGCCTATGGGTTCTAAAAAAATATATTTTTCTACGCAACAAGAAGGGTGTAGAAAAGATGTAGAACGTGCCTTTGGAGTTCTCCAATCACGTTTCACAATCGTGAAAGGACCAGTTCGTTTTTGTGAGAAAAGCGGGATACTTGAAGATGAGCATGATCTCGATGCGCCAATTGAAGTTGGAAGAGAAACTCCACCTCCGGATGTTGAAATAGAAAATGATGAAAATACCCGATTCCAAGAATTTCTCGCTCAATTCAGAAAAATAAAAGATAAAAAAGCTCATTTGTGGGAGAAGTATATGTCTACAATTGCATAAATATATGTTTTTAATTAATGTTATGTAATGTGATAATAATGTATTTTAAATAAAATTTGTTGAACTATTTTCTTACTATAAATTAAACGGGTTTAAAATTCATAAGTTTAGAAAGTAAATAGTTTTGTTAATAATTAATAATAAAATAGAGATAAAATATACTTAAAATATTCTTTTCAAAGTAGAAAATGTAGGAAACCATTGGAAAAGCATTGCTTCATTTTTTCCTTCAATTTTGAAGATATATTTTAAGGTAACCATTGGAGATGCTCTTAGGCTAATATGTCTTCATACATGACGTTGAGTTATTATTACAAACCATTGATTAGGCTAATAAGAAGGGATTAGAGTCATCATAATAAGAGTCATAATAAGAGTCAATATACGATATTAAGGTGAGAAGTTAGAGATATGATAATGGGAAGCTTAGGACATGGAACTAAGGGTCAGCTTGAAGACATGCTCGACCCTCATGGAGAAGTCCTACTCGACCACATTGCACCAAAGGAACACTCGATCGAGTATGGAGCTAAAGAGCGTGAAGATGAAGAACCTGGAGATAAAGAGGATATGGCATTGCATGTTGCTACTGGACCAATGACATGATCAAAGATGAAGCTACTAAATCAAGCTACCACCACACTTCTACAACAGATTGAGGGCAGCCTTGAACAAGAGGCTTGTCCAACCGCATTGGTTGTAATTCAAGTCGTTCAAGCGACAAAAATGGAGGTGTGTGACTTGCACTCTTTTTTCCTCCTCTTGGTTTTGTCCTAATGGGTTTTCCAAGAGATGTTTTTAACGATGCAAGCCCACACACTCTTTACTCGAGCTCATTGTTGTCTCGCAGCCCATTACCAAGGAGAAGCCCATTTCGTTTGAATTCAGTCTTGTGTGTTTAATGTCGTTTTTCTTTCCCTAGGATAACTCTTCATCTCCCTAGACCTCTAGACTTCTTTATAATCCCTTCTTCTCCTTTGTAAACGATTATCAAACTTTCTCTTATAAAAATCCCTTTCTAATTATGTTTGATCACGAGATTAGTGTGTCATATCCTTTCTCAACTTGTGAATGCTCTTGATGTGTCATATCCAAGCAAGATCAAACCCAAAAAGGAATTTCGCAGCCTTTGGAAGTTCTACTCGACCCCTCATAATTTTTACTCGATCTCATCATTCATTTAATCATTCAATCTGATCAAACCATCACCACCTCATCACTTGCTCAATCTAACTCACATCACTCGATCCATTCATATCCATCACTTACTCGATCACAAGCCATTCAAACCATTCAGCTTCACTGATTCACCATTCTACTCGATCTCGCTTCAATCTACTCGATCACCAACGTCATACTCGATATGTTTCATCTTCTACTCGACCGTAACATCACCTACTCGATATCTTCATCACCGATTTATCACCATACTCGATCACACCACTCATCTACTCGATCACACCTTCCTCGAATCATTCACCTACACGATTACACCATCTACTCAATCACACCTTCACCGAATCATTCTCCTACTCGATCACGACATCTACTCGATCACACCGTCTATTCGGTCACATCACCATACTTGATCATATACTCGATCACCACCACTCCAAAACAGTTATTCCGCAAACTATTTGCATTCAACCACACGAAGTGCATCAAGGGACTGTGAT